TAGAAAGACAGAAAGAAAGATAAAAGTAAGAAAGAAAGAAAGATAGAAGAAAGAAAGATAGAAAGACAGAAAGATAAAAGAAAGAAAGAAAGAAAGAAAGACAGAAGAAAGAAAGATAGAAAGACAGAAGGAAAGATAAAAGAAAGAAAGAAAGAAAGAAAGAAAGAAAGAAAGAGAGAAGAAAGAAAGATGAAAAAAAACAGCAAGAAAGATAAAAGAAAGATAAAAGAAAGAAAGAAAGAAAGATAGAAGAAAGAAAGATAGAAAGACAGAAAGAAAAAAGAAAGAAAGAAAGATAGAAGAAAGAAAGATAGAAAGACAGAAAGAAAGATAAAAGAAAGATAGATAGATAGATAGATAGATAGATAGATAGATAGATAGAAAGAAAGCTAAAAGAAAGAAAGAAAGAATATGATACGACTTGGAAAGAACGAAAAAGGGAAAGAAACATATAATGTAAATAAAACTAAGCAAAAAAAGAAAAAGTAAAAAATATAAGAAAAAATAGAAATAGACAACGAAAAACGAAAATGTCAAAGAAAGAAAGAAAGAAGAAAGAAAGAAAGAAAGAAAGAAAGGAGAAAGAAAGATAGATAGATAGATAGATAGATAGATAGATAGATAGATAGATAGATAAAAGAAAGAAAGATAGAAAGACAGAAAGAAAGAAAGAAAGAAAGAAGTTATGAACGATAAAGAAATTAACGGAAACAAATAAGAAACCGGGAAACAAAGTTATGAATAAGAAAGAAAGAAAAAAGAAAAAGAAAAAGAAAGAAAGAAAGAAAGTACGAAAGAAAGAAAGAAAGAAAGAATATGATATGATATGACTTGGAAAGAACAAAAAAGGAATATATAATGGAATTAAAACTCAGCAAATAAGAAAAACTAAAAACAGGAAAAAATAGAAATAACGAAAGAAAAACTGTCAAAGAAAGAAAGGCAGAAAAAATAAAAAATGAAAGAAAGAAAGAAAGAAAAAAAGAAAGAAAGAAAGAAGTTACGAATGATAAAGAATGAACGGAAACAAAAAAGAAAACGGAAACAACATTATGAATAAGAAAGAAAGTAAAAAAGTAAAAGAAAGAATATGATACGACTTGTAAAGAACAAAAAAAGAAAGAAAATTATAGGTTAACTAAAATTTCGTAAATTATAGCAGAAATCAAAGGAGAAAGAGGAACAAAGGCGAGGCCTTTCAAAAGCAAAATCTAATTGAAACATTTGTTGAAAGAAACGTTCAGGAAACAAAGTTATTCATAGAAAAAGACAATATTCCGACCATCCACATCAAAGCTTAAGTCTCACAGCCGAAGAATCATAACTTGCATTTTTCGAATTGTTTTTTGATTTTCTTTTTTTTACTACTCTGCGTAAATTTATTTTAATGAAGGTATTTTTTTCGTGAAATGAATAAAATCTAAAATGAAAGTTGCAAAGGCTTGCCAACTGCTCCCGTGGAACACCGAAGTCATCTTTTGATTCCATTTCGAGTGGAAAGACAAGATGACGATTGTATGTTTTTGAGCTCTTGCCTAAATATGTGTGCGGATTTAAATATTTGACATGAAACACAGCTTCAAAAGAAAGAAATAAAAAAAAAGAAAAAAAAACAATTCGTATCTGGTTTTCACAACTTTCAATACAAAATGCTGACACAGCTGTCTAGACTTTATGGACATCATTTAAAAAAGCAATACTGAAAGCCTGAGAGCTCAATGTTAAGTCAGAGCGAATAATTTAATTTTAAAAAAAAGACAGACAAATTTAAGGCTCCATTTGTAATAATTTATTTCACCAGAGAATTTTATTTTTCTCTGGATCTTCAGACTACACTTTCAAAAAGTGAAACGAAAAATGAATTTAAAATTTACACTTTTGACGGGCATTATTAAGCTTATATAATTAGACATAGAAGGTGGTGAGGAATAGTGTGAGAGACATGGTCGAGTTCGTATATATATATATATATATATATATATATATGTCTGTGTCTGTGTGTGTGAAAATATATAGAAAAAAAAAAAGAGCCGTTAAGTTAATAATCCAAAGTTCTTTAGTATTTTTGTTTATTTTAAAAAACAGTGATCAATACATAAGTAGAGCCTAAATTATAATATGATATATATATATATATATATATATATATATATATATATATATATATATACGTTTGATGTGCGACTCGAGATTCGTTGATTACTAAATTCATCCGGCACGAGATATACAGTCGCTAATATTTTGTTATCTCATTTACCAAACCCTATTCATATACCTATATATATATATATATATATATATATATATATATATATATATATATATATATATATATGAGTGTGTGTGTCTGTCTGTATTAATTGATTTCACCCAAGCAAGGGAATGAAGCCACTACGACGCAAGAGGTTACTGGGTGTGAAATAATTAGAAAACGGAAACTTTACTGGTGAGCAAAAACAAGAGTAGAGTACTCAGGAGGAGAGAAGAAAGCGATTGAGGATTGCATTTAAAGTTTTGAAGATTAAAATTGTCTGGAAAGCATAGAACCGGCAAGGAGATCCCCAAGCAAGAAGTGCGAGAGAAGAAACTGTTCGTATAGAACGTACAGTTACATCTAACTAACTCGATTGTAGATTGGTGAGCCCTCGTCGACCGTCTAGTACTGCAGTGAAATTCAGCAAGTCTCGGTACTATGGCGAAGATATCACCCGAGCAGTTGCCATGAAAGTATTTATAGAAAAGGCACAGGGAGGTAATTTTATGGCGGTCGGAAAGAAACTGAAATTGAAAGGCCAGAACAGGGTTAATAATATTGCTGATTCTTCTTCTGGCTTTATTATATATATATATATATATATATATATATATATATATATATAACAAAAAAATATATTAAAAATTACAATTTTCAGACACACTGGGTTGTACATTAATATTTTTTCGTTTTTATTATTATTATTTCATTTAGATTCCTCGACTAGTTTCGGCCAACATGGCCATCATCAGGAGAAGAAATAAATGAATGTCTTGATGGAGAAAATGAACTTTTGTCTGTAGTTTTCATTTGTTTTTTTTAAATTTTTTATCTTTTTAACATGAATCTTTTAACATTCCTTGTGTTGGTCAAACAGTCTCTTTTAAGTTGTTATTTGAGATAAGAGCTGGATGGATCCGTGCTGCTCTTAATTCTCCTGGTCAGTTTGACAGTTTTTATTGGTTCCTGGAGAGGGGACGTGTCTCTGTTAAGTGTGTATGTATGTGTTATTTGGTTCTTAGGGAGTGAGTGAGTATGATATGTGTAAGCGTGTATATTGCTGTGGATGTGTGTTATCATTTGGCTCATTAAGGAGTGAGTGAGTGAGTATGATGTGAGTAAGTGTGTATGTTCGTGTGGGTGTGTGTATACGTGTGAGGCCTCAACACCTCCGTAAGCACGTCTGTCTTGTGTGGGTGAGAAATGTGGGTAGGTTTTGATTTTTAGGGTTATATATTAATACTATCTATATTGTTAAATTTATGGTTTAGCCCGGCTGGATAGTGTGTTTTTAAACGTTGTGTCCATTTATGTTCATGGAACTCTAAAATCTTTCTTTGTTCCCTGATTAGGTGTTGTTTATAGCCACGTTTTGTGAATTGATACTCCAGATTTTCAATGTGTTTATTTAATTCTTCATTGTTAGAACATATCCTTCTGAGTCTAAGTGCTTGTGAATAGGGAAGGTTCGCTTTGAGGTGTTTAGGGTGGGAAGACTTAAAGTGTAGATAGTTGTGGGTGTCGGTGATTTTAGTGTGTAGTGTCGTTTGTAGTTTCCTGTTTTCATCTATGTAAATGCGGGTGTCTAAAAATGTTACTGATGTCGATTTTTTCATAGTCAAACTTAATTGAGTCGTGCACTGTGTTTAGGGTCATAAGGAATTGGGTAAGTTTGTCATCACTACCCGTGTATACAAAGAATATATCATCGATATATCTTGCATAGAATACGCAGTCGCTACCAATGATTGGATAGATATGGGTTTCCTCAAATTTTCCCATGAATATTGTAGCATATGATGGAGCTGCAATGGTGCCCATGGCACAACCTCTTACTTGAAGGTAGTGTTCTCCATTTAAATTGAAAGTATATCAATATATATATATATATATATATATATATATATATATATATATATATATATTTTCTTCTTTTACAGCGGAAGCACCAGACCATATATGGCAGCAATACTTTAAACATTAAATATTTAAGATAGTTTCAGGAGAGAAAGATTGCTTAGCACGATAGAATGAACCAACTTTCTTAGCAGCTGACTTAGCAATGAATTCACTTGTCGTCATCCGTGAACGTTAGCCTGAGAAGGATGATGAGTAACACTCCTGGACGTTAGCATTAGCCATGCTGATGGAAGGCAGAGAATGGTTATTTGAGATCGCTAATAGAGTTCAGTTATATATATATATATATATATATATATATATATATATATATATATATATATTTCATCTACAGACAGACTGTTTCGCTGTATCACAGCTCTTCAGTGTGGCTAAACGTCCGGTTGCCTCTAGCTAGGATCGAAACCCGGGTGAATTGGCGTCAGTCGGAGCTTCTACCACTAAGTCGTCATTGCATGGCAGAAACGAAGGTGAATTTTAGTATATTTATTTTTAGATAAACTCACAGTATCTGGGAGGACTCTATTCGCTTTACCGAAGAGCCTTGCTATATCAGCCGTAATAGTCACTGTTTACAAACCCACACTCAACCGAAATAAATTTTCAGGAGCATATATATATATATATATATATATATATATATATGTCTTATCAAAAATATGTCTGATTAAAAATTATTAGCACTTTTATGTCTATGGAATATATTGTATTTTTACAGACATGGGAGAGTCCAGCAAATATTTTCGAAACCAACGCCTTGCAGTACGTTCATCCACAGCACTATCCCCAAACGCTTGACATATGCGGCGACTTGATACAGCTGCTGATAATCCCCCTTTTGAATACGTAAAGCAAACAGTCCCGAACGAGATCTCTAGACACTTCCATCCTTCTCACAGCTGTCCGGCTTATAAGTGATGGCCAGGCACGGTGCGCGTGTTTTTTATAACGTCTGATGTTCCTACTTCCGGCTGTCCAAATTTGAAAACAATTGCTACACGCATTTCGTATATTTCAACTTCATTCGATGACTAATCAAAAAACGGACAGAACTTTTTTGGTTAGCTTGTATTTTATTAAACACGTCGACGTGTACATTTTTAACTAACCAGTGGGGTCGTTCAATCACTGCCCCTCCTTCACTGGGGAACAAGTTCACCGAGACACGAAATAACCACGACTAATGTGTATGATGTGTAAAACTTAACTCCCCGAAATCACTTTGTACCTCTCTAAACTTCCCACGCTAGCTTAACCAATCGAAACCGACTTCCTCTGTTTTGTCTACCATCTGACCTTAAAGGTCAGCCTCATAAGGTCTGAGCCAAAATACACTGCCACTAAGAAATATTAGTCTGAAACTATTATTTAACAATGTGTTTAGAAAGACACGGTATTTTTATGTCTTCTCATATCTGAAAGAATTTCCTATCACATTATCTATATTTATCAAGTTCGTGTCAATATGAAATGTCAGCGGATAAACGCGACGTCCAACTAACCGATCAATATGGTCAGTGACCGGATATTGTCACATTTCCTTGTGTTCAGTCTTTTGAAAAGAGCAGAATGGCGATTATGAATGATGCTGTTTCAAAGTTAGAATTTCGCGCAAGAATTAGTAAAAGTAATAAAGTTAATAGTCGAACAAAATGGTTATCGGGCTGCAATTGTTGCGTTGCATGTCCCCTCCGGTTTCTAGTGGGTGATCGGCAATTCCCGAGTAGGGATCTCCACATTGCATCACATACTTATTCAGCAACAGATAATTTGCTTAGACAAAGACAATGAATCATTATCTATATTCCACTATAGGGAACTCTTCATAGAAAAGAATTGCTTTTTATGTTCATCTTCACCGCCTTGATACATACATGTATATATATATATATATATATATATATATATATATAAAAAAGAAAGCTCTTTACTAATGTATTGAGCTTTTCTTTTGATATATATATATATATATATATATAGTTGTATATTTAGGCAGCAATCCTTCCTTTATGCATGCTTCATTAAAACGACAGACAAGGTACGACGGTTAAGCTTTTTATTTAATTTTCCTCGTGTTCTAACAAGAACTTTCTTTTCTGGACAAAGGGTGTGTAAGAACTGTCCAAATGTTTTATATTTCCGAGCGCTTTCGGATATACCTTTAGCCATTATCAAGGATGATTCGATTTTTCAGCTTAATTGAGTGTGTGCGTTCTGTGTATGTCTTAGTGTGTGGTCGGAATGTTTTTAATTTCCGAATACGGTTAGCACATTGTGGCTTTGTTCGTAATTAATATTGTTAATTATTTATATTATCGAATCATCCTTGATAATGGCTAAAGGTAAAGCCGAAAGCGCTCGGAAATATAAAGCATTTGGACAGTTCTTACACAAACTTTGTCCAGAAAAGAAAGCTCTTGTCAGAACACAAGAAAATTAAATAAAAAGCTTAACCGTAGCCCTACCTTGTCTTTCGTTTTAATGAAACATGAATGAATATATATATATATATATATATAAAAATATATTACACCGAAAATGTAAAAAACAATGTACACAAATGCAGTTGTTTCAATGGGTATCAACGGATCTCATCTATTATATATATATATATATATATATATATATATATATATATATATATATATGTGTGTGTGTGTGTGTGTGTGTGTGTGTGTGTGTGTGTGAAGAAATATAGTTTTAAAATATCCGGTATTTATGGGATAAAGTGCTCAATATCAGAGATAGAGCGTATGTAGATATTAAAATGAACATTGAAGTCAACACTCAGAAGTGACAGACTGTTTCATGCTGAACGCAATCATCAAGCCACCAGTGTTGACTTCAATGCTCTCTTACATATATATTTATTGTATTTGAGTAACAGATCATTATTTAAACATATATTGTTAAATATAACAGAAAATAAATGCCTATTCTATTTAATCACGAGGAAAATTAATATTGAAGATATTTTGTCTTTATTTTCCCCGCCGAAATTAAAGCAACCATACGAAGTTTACAACGATTCATAATTAAACATAATAGACGCTCCTCGTCTGTTATATTTAAGAATATATGTTTTTATATATAAAGGGTGCTCCAATAACTAACAGATTTTAATATGAATTAAGTTTAAGCGTCTAATGATTTTTTTCTTTTTCTTTCAGATTTGGCGGACATTTGGGCGATATTATTTTTCACACATAATTGCCATGACGTAAATAACATGATCTAATAGAGAAATAAATACATTTTCCCCAATAACACTGATTTATTTCCTGCTGACTTTGATCCGTCTTAATGAAACACCCTTATATATAATCCGTCTTAATGAAACACCCTTATATACAACCCGTCTTAATGAAACACCCTTATATATAATCCGTCTTAATGAAACACCCTTATAGACAATCCGTCTTAATGAAACACCCTTATATATAATCCGTCTTAATGAAACACCCTTATATATAATCCGTCTTAATGAAACACCCTTTATATATATATATATTATGAAATTATATATTAAATATGACAGATGAGAAAAATTTAATTAATTTTTTTAATTTACTTTTCTCCAGCGTTTTTTTTTTTTTTCATTTGCTGGGAGTAAGGCTCAGAATAATCGCTCCTACTAGTATCCATGTTGTAAACTAGAAAGGGCTATTGCATGAGGAATAACCAAAACGGAGGTTGGAAACGATAACCTTTATAACTTCAACAAAATACAATACTCGCCAGCGACGTAAAGTAGGTAAACCACTGCTGGTGGTGGACGACTTAGATAGCATATTACCCCCACTTACAAGAGTATCCAACGTATTTGTGAGGATTGGGACATATCCATTAGTGTTCATAGGTACGGTTTATAACACTATTTATCTTAGTATCGTACATTCATGATCTATCTATCTATCTATCTATCTGTTGTAACCTAGAAATGGTTACTGAATGAGGATTAACCAAAACAAAGGTTGGAGATGAAATGGTAATCTTTATTACATCAACAAAATACAATACTCGCCAGCGGCGGGAACTAGGTAAACCACTGTTAGTGATGGACGACTTATACTGCATATTACTCCCCCTTACAATAGTGTCCAACGTATTTATCAGGATTGGGACATACCAATTAGCGTTCATATGTAAGGTATATAACAGCTACCATATCTTGTCTAGTGCACCTACTATATATCTCGAGTTTCTCAACAAACCCCCCCACCCAAAATGCTTTGTAATATTATTAGTCTTAACCTGACATCTCGACTTCAATCACTTTCTGATATGTCCCGGAAAGGGCTATATTTGAACGAAGTAGCTAAGTGGTTTTGACTACTATAACCAAGTAGAATACGGTAGCAGTAATCGACTGGTACGCGTCGTAGTCGCAGGTAAGAAGTGTAGATCAATGGCGTAGTCCAATGGGCGTCGTTATAGACTTAGCTCTCAGACTAAGGCTCTTTCTCTTGACTCTCCTACACGTCCGTCGGTATTTATGACGGACACCAGCCAATCACATTCCAGTGAGGGGGAACACAGGTGTACGCATATTCCATTATATCACTATCTATCTATCTATCTATCTATCTATCTGATATGTCCCGGAAAGGGATCTATTTGAACGAAGTAACTAAGTGGTTTTAGCTACTATAACCAAGTAGAATACGGTAGCAGTAATCGACTGGTACGCGTCGTAGTCGCAGGTAAGAAGTGTAGATCAATGGCGTAGTCCAATGGGTGTCGTTATAGACTTAGCTCTCAGACTAAGGCTCTTTGACTCTCCTTACGTCCGTCGGTATTTATGACGGACACCAGCCAATCATATTCCAGTGATGGGGGACATAGGTGTACGCATATTCCATTGTATCACTTTCCCACCTCCATAACCTGGCTTCTCTCTGTCTTTTCTCTAAATATTTTCATGGCAATTGTTCTAATGAGCTCTTCTTGATACCTCTACTTCATGAATTTAAGAGTGCTAGTTGATTAGCAACTAGGTCTCACCTTTTTACTGTCGAAGTAACTAGATATAACCGTAAGTTCTATTCTAATAGTTTCTTCTCTGGCACATCTCACCTGTGGACCTCTCTTCCAGGTTTTTTTTTGGGGGGGGTCTATTTCACCCATGTTCTTTAAATTCTTTAAAATTTAAATGCAATGTCAACAGCATTTCTTTTATTTCTGTTCTTTTATTGTCTGTTATCCTAAGTCTTGTCTTTTCCTTTCCTCCCCAATAAACCCATTACGATTTATTGGCTTTGTTGCTTTGTCTGGGGTAAAATGAACAAAAATGAAAACGCCTCTAGAATTTTTTTATATATATATAAAATAATTCACTTTTTAAGCTTGAGTCGCCTTGTTGATAACGAATGACGGTAGCAAATGTCCCACTCAATGTCACGCTTTCGCAAACGTGAAAGTTTAAAATATTCCATCCTGATTACGGCCTCGACCAATTTGATAGCAGACGTTTTTTTTTTATATTCTGAAATAATAACTGAAATCAAAACGAAACAATAAAAAATAATATTGCTACACAAATTACATCTGAATCAGAAAAAAAAAATGAAACAAATCTAGTAATATTTTGTTCAATTCTGCGTTTTCATTATGAAAAGGAAAATGAAGCCATTTTTTTTTTTGATTGATATAAACGATATGGCTTCTGTCTGCGTGGAAAGCTATTTACAGATAACTGCAACTCGAAAATATCTGTAGTAAAGAAACAAAATGTATCTGTGTTAGCTTAGGTTGAGGAGACCCGTGAAGAAAGACGGGACGGCCTCCAGACAGTGTACACAGGTTGCAAAACATAGTGAACTCAAAATTGGGGCTGGGTTATGCAAGGGCAGATAAAGACAGAAATAGTACAATCAATTCATAGAGATAAATATACCGGGTGTATCAGCAAAATTGTCCTACTCGTGTTACAGCCTAATTGTCTATCCCACAAAATATTTAATATGTAAAAAAATAAAAAAATAAACTAAACTTTACTTATTTCTATAGTAGAATTACTAACAATACATTTTATAGCAAAATGATATTGTGATATTATGATTTAAGTGGAAAACTGGATCAGAAGGTCACAACAAAAAGAGAGATCATCATTTCAACTTCTAGAGCTAAGTTGATCAATTAGAAAAGATCCAACTCTATCCATAAGACGTTTGGCATGTGAGAGAGGAGTTTCAGCTATGACAGTCCAAAGAGCAGTGAAAGAAAGACTTGAAAATTAAATCATACGTGAAATATGTGAAGCGAGGACAGAAAGTTAGAAAGTTAGAGAGGGTGCAAAAAATCATCTTGAATTTCCAGGTTTTCAAATAAGATGTTTAGCGATCTTGATACCATTTTTCGTAAGAATCACATTTTGAGTTAGTTATTCAGTTAGAGAACAGGTTAAAATCATTGTATGTCAGCTCCACTCTCTTCTCAACTGAGCAATGGTGAGAGGAATTAGATCATTCAGGTCTTCAGTAATCGTACCAACATTCATACTCTGGCTTCCATCTCCAAAGTCCGTTCAAAAACAATCCAGAGAATATTGAATAAGAGTGAACAGTAGAGTGGGAAACTGGATCAGAAGGTCACAACAAGAAGAGGGATCATCATTTCAACTTAGAGCTAAGTTGATCAAGAGTTGGAGAGGGTGCAAGAATGCAAATCAAAACTCACAGGGAGCTAGGTCTGGGCTGTAAGGAGAGTGAGGAATAGTTTTGATGCTCATGTCTGCCGACACAAAATATTTATTGCAGAGCGAGCTTTCAAATTGTCTTCACGTCCCGACTGCATTATGGAAACGAGTCAGCTGTGTTTAGTAGGGGCGTTTTCGAAGAGCTGCTACGGCCGCCTCCTTCAATCTGGAATAACCAAACTTGGCAGATCATCTTATTATATACAGAGTAATGAACTACTAAAATCACAGTAATCTGGAGATTTATAACTGCCTTTTCATAAAAGAGTCTCAAAACTTCTAGAATACCCTCCTTCTGTAGATGACAAGTTAAAACAAGGTTCTAGGAAAATTTGAAGTTGGAAAACTGCCAGGTGGAAATTAGCCAGTGCGGAAAATTCCCATTGAGAAAATTGCCAGTGCGGAATATTGCCATTGACAAATTAAATTAATTCCATTTCTCTTTTTTACAACTGCTTTTTCGAACCAAAACTACAATTTCTCCATTTATATTTGCTTACTTCAAGTTGTAAATTGGTACGAAAGAACGGTGTGCATCAACTCGCATACGGACAAGTTGACGCTTTTTGGTACCTTTTTGTTGTAGGGGTACCTTTTTGTTCTAGGGTATCCTTTTTTTGTTTTTGGGGATCATTTTTGTAGGTATATATTTTTTTTGCTGTAGGGGTATCTTTTTATTGTAGGGGTACCCTTATTGTTGTATGGGTATCTTTTTTGTTGTATGGATACCATTTTTGTGTGGGAATATTTTTTTTGTTGTAGGGGTACCTTTTTCCTATATAGGTATCTTTTTTGCTGTAGGGATACCTTTTTCTTTTGTTGTGGTACCTTTTTGTTATAGGGGTGCCCTTTTTGTTGTATATATTTTTGCTGTAGAGATACCTTTTTGTTTCAGAGGTAACTTTTTTGTTGCAGGGGTACCTTTTTGCTGTAGATGTATCTTTTTGTTGTAGGAGTAATCTTTTTGTTGTAGGGATACATTTTTTGTAGTAGGGGTACCTTTTTGTTATAATGGTACACTTTTTGTTGTATGGATATCTTTTTGTTGTAAGGATACCTTTTTTCTTGTAGGGGTACCTTTTTGTTGTAGAGTACCTTTTATGTTGTAGGGGTACCTTTATTTTTTTAAACAGATAGCTCCTTTGTATTGTTCCCGTGAATTCTAAAAATAATAACCCCTTCAAATAAACCAAAATTTGCATTTAGCACCTTTAAAAAATGAAGAAAATTATTTTTTTATTTTTATATTTTTTTATATACGAAATGTTGATCAATAATTTTTTTGTATAATTTTAAGGCGTTCAATTAATAAAATATCATTCCGTTTTACTGAATTTGTTCTAAAGCACTATCAGATAAATAGATTCAAAACCCTGGCAATTTTATTCAGTGTGAAATTTCCCCACTCGCAATTTTGCACCTGGCAATTTCCAACTCGGAATTTTCCGTGCACAAACAAGCAAAAAGTACAAAAACGGTTGTCTATAAAGCCATCATGCTGCATTATATATAAAGCCGAATCTTGGGTCATATACCTACGCCGAATTGAACCTCTTACATCAGCGTTATCTCAAGATTATTTTTCCTATACAGTGGCAAACAAAACATATCTGGGCCGTGACGATCTCTGTGGCCGAGTGGTCCGAAGCACGCTGGATCAAACCGTGGTTTCTCCTACACAGGCGGGCGCAGGATCGAACTCTGTCGGAGACCACGTTTTCTTTATAAAGTTTTCTCATTTACGCGGGCCAAGAGACGTAATACACACTGTTTAAAATAAAATTAAAAAAAACAGGGCATCTATTTCAAACACGTGTATCCACAAAAACCGTTAAAATAATTAAAAAATGTCGGATTCAAAACAAATTAATTAACTATCTCTCTCTCTCTCTCTCTATATATATATATAGAGAGAGAGAGAGAGAGAAAGAAACAGACAAAGGAAAAAGTCACAAAGAGGACGTGATATATGAATATATTTATATAATAAATAAAACAATATTTAAATCCGTTCATACAATTGATCACACATACGCCAATCACACGCACACACACACACACACACACACACACATATATATATATATAGTTATTTATGATTTTTTAACATAAACTGGTGTTAAAATTAATCTCACTCCCTCTATGTCTCTCTCTTGTTCCCTCTCTTTTTCAGTTTGTTCATAATCTATCTATATCTAGCTTTCTGAGAATTTTCACATTTTCCTTTGTTCTATCTATCTATCTATCTATCTATCTATCTATCTATCAGTCTGTTCTCATCTATCTCAGTCTATTCATGTCTATCTCAGTTTATTCATATCTGTCTATCTATCTATATGTCGATATGTTTCTGTCAAAATGCACTGAAGTTGTGTGTGTGTGTGTGTGTGTGTGTGTGTGTGTGTGTGTGTGTGAAATTGCTTAGATTTTTGCGCGAATTTCTCTGTATGTTGCATGTGTCTGTATACCTTTGTCGGCGAGCGACTACGCTTCAGAGTTTTAATTTGATAGGCGCAAAAATTGGCCCAGAACCAAATCAAACTGTACTGACCAGCCGTTGGAGGGGGGGGGGTAACCGGCCTGCCGGCTAATGTCTCCAACAAGGCTAAATTACACGCTACTTTGCCTCATATCACGTTGGCTGCCATGATGCCTGCCGCTCTCAGCTACTGAAAACGTGACATAATATAAACTGACCAATCAGGACACAGATTCAAAAGGCTACTTTATATAAAACGCTGTTCACAAGCAGAAGATAGACGATTTGTGAACAGTGCTTCACTCATTTCTTTGTAAATGGCAAAAAATACATCCGTTGGAACAATGTCTCTTAGACGTAGGTTATATTGGATATTATGCAAAAACATTTTATTTATTTATTTTTGCATAGTCTCAAGAGTATCATAGATTTTATATGTTCAAAAAGGAAAAAATAAATAAAAATAATGAAATAAAAATACATAAAAAAAAAATCCCCTACGAACGTTATTTTGAGGAACAGAAGTAAGATTTTTAAATTGAATGATTTGTTGTTTTTTACGGTTCATCAACTCTTTGGTGGTTATTTAAAGCCGAAACAGTTTTGATTGTATGAAGAATTCTTTTTTTGTTTTGTTTCGTGAGTTAATATTACATTAATAATTGTTTTTAGATAACAAAGATTACTTCAAACGTACTTAAAATAGACGCAATCATATTTATTTATTAAACAGGATTTCAAAAATAGTCAGTGACTGGAAATTACGTGATACAAATACTACTAATTAATCCATAGCTTGTGGGTAGAAGATATAGATTCATACTGTTCCTGGCAGTTACTGCGCGTAATTAAAGCTAACGAACTCAACTGGAATTCGAACTCGGATTTTCGATTTCTCATTTGGATCTGCTGTCACCGCCTGCATATCCTTAAAAGTATATGAATAACCTTTTGTTGACTTTTGTGTGTCCCACCTGTGTCCTACGTGTGTCCCACCTGTGTCCCACCTGTGAACCCACCTGTGTCCCACCTGTGTTCCACCTGTGTCCTACGCGTGTCCCACCTGTGTCCTACGTGTGTCCTACCTGTGTCCCACCTGTGTCCCACGCGTGTCCCACCTGTGTCCCACGCGTGTCCCACCTGTGCCCTACGTGTGTCCCACCTGTGTCCTACGTGTGTCCCACCTGTGTCCTACGTGTCCGAAGCGCGATACGCTATACTATTTCAATTTCAAAGTGCCAGAGAAAAAGGAATAAAAACTTAATCCTCCCCCTCTTTCTCCCCGTCTCTCTCCCACTCTCTCCCACTCGCTCGCTCTCTCTCTCTCACGATCTATATCTCACACTCTCTTTCTTACTCTCTCTCACTCTCTCTCTCTATCACTCTCTATTTCTCGCTCTCTCTCACTCTCTCTCTCTTATTATCTCTCTCACTCTCTCTCAAACTCTCTCACTTTCTCTCACTCTCTATTTCTCTCTCTCACTATCTCTCTCACACTCTCTCACTCGCTCTCACTCTTTCTCTCACTCTCTCACTATCGATCTCTCTCACTCTCACTCTCACACTTTCTCACACTCTCTTTCTCACTCTCTCTCACTCTCTATTTTTCGCTCTCTCACTATATCTTTCTCACTCTCTCATTCTCTCTAACTCTCTCACATTTCTCTCACTCCCTGTCTATCTCTCACGCTCTCTTATACACAGAAATAACTTCGACCATAATTTTGATCTAAAGAATGCCACACTCGTCAAAAGAGAAAGCAATTTACTGAGAAAGAACATCTCCGAGAGTGCCGCCATCGAATCTTATCAAAATATCAATCTACGCCCAAATCTCACTTTTCCTGAAAGAATTACTACTTTCTCAAGTCAACATGCACAAGAAATATGTTGAAAACTCATACGAAAACCTCTGAAACTACATCTATCTATCTATCTATCTATCTATCTATATATATATATATATATATATATATATATCGCTTTCAACGTTATTTTTAGTGGCTACTCCTATTTCAGTAGGCACCCTGTCTATTTATTAAGCAGCTTCTTTATTCAGTTTTAGTAAAATGAATAAATAAGCTGTTTAATAAATAAACGGGTCGTCCACTCAAATGTGAGTATCCACCAAACGTTTTAAGTAATAAGGAATTTGTCGGATTAAAAAAAGTGCATTATCTGTATATATATATATATATATATATATGTGTGTGTGTGTGTGTGTGTGTGTGTGTGTGTGTGTGTTTGTGTTTTTATCACTTTACACGTTATTTTTAGTGGATACTGTATTTGTGTAGATGTTAGATATGTTAAGTAATGAAAATCTGTTAATTAATAAATAACAAATCCATTCCTCATATATATATATATATATATATATATATATATATATATATATATATATGTGTGTGTGTGTGTGTGTGTGTGTTTTTGTAGATATATTTATACTACTAATAATAAATACTGTTTTAACAAGTGAAGAGAGATAGATAGATGTACAGATATAGAGAAGCTAATGAAGATAGATAGATAGATAGATTAGAACGTGCTCAGATAGATAGATAGATAGATAGATAGATAGATAGATAGATAGATACGAACAGACTGAGATAGATAGATAGATAGATAGATAGATAGATAGATACGAACAGACTGAGATAGATAGATAGATAGATAGATACGAACAGACTGAGATAGATAGATAGATAGATAGATAGATAGATAGATAGATAGATAGATAGATACGAACAGACTGAGATAGATAGATAGATAGATAGATAGATAGATAGATAGATAGATACGAACAGACTGAGATAGATAGATAGATAGATAGATAGATAGATAGATAGATAGATAGATAGATAGATACGAACAGACTGAGATAGATAGATAGATAGATAGATAGATAGATAGATAGATAGATAGATAGATGTACATTGGGTGATTTGCAACGCACAGAAAAAAATGCAAGCACAGCAGAGCACAATGTAAATCGATAGATAGATTGATAGATATTGGAAGATTGAGGTCGCTATAAACAGTAAGCGATAAATACAGACCCCACCCCTCAAGAACTGATATAGACTAAAACGTATGAGTATAGATAAATAGAAATGGGGGCAAATATGATCATTTATAGAGAAGATCCTCAGAATCGAGAGACGAGCTAAGTGCTGTGCGTCCTGTTTCGTGGCAACCCCACACTGGAAAGATCCAGGCAAATAACATTTTCTCCGTCAACCATTTACACACGGAAGCAATGCATACAAAGATGGAAATCAAGCACTAACAGAACGCGTATCGTTTGATTGAAAACAAAGGAGGAGTGACAAAATGTAAAAGACTAGAAAAGAAACCGCTGGCTAAAACGTTAGCAATAGAATCCCAAGTATTCATCAAACGCCCAGAGAAAGCCAGACCTTCCGCGTCCTGGGTAAGACGAGAAACTGCATCCGCGTCCCGGGTAAGACGAGAAACTGCATCCGCGTCCCGGGTAAGACGATGAACTGCATCTGCGTCCTGGGTAAGATGGATAAACTGCATCCGCATAACGGGTAAGACGATAAACTGCATCCGTATCCTGGGTAAGACGATAAACTGCATGCGTGTCCTTGGTAAGACGATAAACTGCATCTGCGTCCTGGGTAAGATGGATAAACAGCATCCGCATCACGGGTAAGACGATAAACTGCATCCGCGTCCTGGGTAAGATGGATAAACAGCATCCGCATCACGGGTAAGACGATAAACTGCATCTGCATCCCGGGTAAGACGATAAACTGCATCTGCATCCCGGGTAAGACGATAAATTGCATGCGCGTCCTGGATAAGACGATAAACTGCATCCCCGTCCTGGGTAGGATGGATAAACTGCATCCTCGTCCTTGGTAAGACGATAAACTGTATCCACATCCCGGGTAAGACGAGAATGCATGCGCGTCCCGGGTAAGAAGATAAACTGCATCCGAATCCCGGTTAAGAAGATAAACTGCACCTGCGTTCTGGGTAAGATGGATAAACTGCATCCGCATCCCGGGTAAGAAGATAAACTGCATGCGCGTCCTTGGTAAGATGGATAAACTGTATCCGCATCCCGGGTAAGACGTTAAACTGCATCCGCGTCCTGGTTAAGATGGATAAACTGTAACTGCATCTCGGGTAAGACGATAAACTGCATGCGTGTCCTGGGTAAGATGGATAAACTGCATTGGCATCCCGGGTAAGACGATAAATTGCATGCGCGTCCTAGGTAAGATGGATAAACTATCCGCATCCCGGGTAAGATGATAAACTGCATGCGTGTCCTGTGTAAGACGACAAACTGCATCTGTAACCCGGGTAAGATGATAAACTTCATCCACGTCCCAGGTAAGATAGATAAACTCTATCCGACAGCAAGACCTCTGATCAGGAGGTTTTGAGGAGCGTGAGACCACCTCTTAATTACCAGAAATACCCTGCCCCGGGATGGTAGCACCTGTTAGGTTCCCTGCTATGTGCAAATAAGTCACCCCTAAACTGGGGACAAAGTGTGTAAAACAGCATTTAATACCTGAAATACTTTATTAAAAAAAAAAATATTCCCAGCAATACATTTTTGAAAAAAAATTTTACCAGCAATAAAAATTGTCGGCATTGAATAACCCACTGAGGTTGATATGCCGGAAAACAAACCAAACCGAAAACCATTTGGCCAACGCATTGGTTATACATGTCCATTAAGTTCGTATTTTCTGTCTTTCTGGAATGAGGTTTTAGTATTACGTACATCACTTAGAGTTGAGATCGAAGGCGCAATGGAATAGCGAAAAATGCCTTCCAAAACCTAAGCAGGGTATTAGGAAATAGAGAAAAAATTCGTTAGTAACAATGAAAAGAGTACTGAACTGTTACGCAATATGGCAGTGAAACCTGGACAATCTCCTCACAGATGACGAAGAGCCTTGAGACAAACGAAACCAATTGAGAATACCACAGAAGAATTCTGCGAACAACGGAAAGGTTTCAGAGAAAATGGAATCAAAAAAGAGTCGTATATTTAGAAACAGAAAGACTTGACATTTTTAGAACTCGTAGTGAGGAAAGAGGGTTTGGAGAAATTGACACCCACAGGATATATTGAAGGCAATAGAGACAAGGAGTAACCTATCCAACGAACCTGTGTACATGGTTATCAGAACACAGAATAGGAGTGATCACACAAAAGACTTTAATCGGAGTTTCAATTGACAAATAGTTGTGAATAGCTATGATGAGCAACGTCGTGAAAGGCCACAGCACATCGAAGAATTGTCGGACTAATAGCTCTGTCTTTTCTAACGAAATTAATCTCTTCATTTTTATTATAGAGAATAGTCAAGGGTCTGTAATTGAAGTAAAGTTTAAAATATAGGCGTAAAAACCGAATAATTATATTTACATTCGCGTTAATTTTGTCAAAGTTTAACAATATCAATATGCAATGACTGGAAATGACGCGAAAAATCCAAACATTTATTTATTTAAAGTCGGACTAATTCATGTTACATTCCGACATAGTAAGAAATACTAAAACTCTTTCCACACACACATACACATACACACACACTCATGCATACACACATACATAAATTTAAGTCTTGAGCACTAAGCATTTTGGGATTAATACTAAGGTCCAATAAGTTAGAATTCCTGACACTAGAACTACTTAACACTTTGTTGTCATGAACTACTTTGTTGCCATTATCCATGCTCATTGAAATATGATTTCTGATAAAAAAAAAAATGACCACCAATTTTTGAGTCTAAAATTACTATGCTTGATCACGTGATTATAATCAACCAATTAGATAGCATATTAAAAAGGTAACAACCTGAGCCCCTTTATTTTGCATAAAACGGAAATAATTCTACAACTCTAGTTAAATGTGAGACATTTCATGGCATAGCCACACGTTTTCTCTATCTCAATTTAACTTTTTAAAATCATAGAACGGGGACTGCTGACTTCTTTTCTAGATAGTGATAACAAGATATCATAGATTGTAGGCCATCTATGGAGTTATATAATGTGGGTCTACAAAACAGAAACAGTTAATGTGTTAAAGAGAATCTGGAATAGATTTGCTTGTGAAGTTTAATTAAATTGTAAAATTAACTTTGCATATCCCAGATGCGAAAGATGAAGATCCGGAATGAGTAACTAAACATGGGTTGCCAACGTGAACTGGAAGATTATCCACAGAGTCTCAAATATTGCCGGGTCCTGGGCATGACGATAAACTACACCCGGTAGCAGGGTCTCTAATAGGGACGTTTTTTTCCAGGTTCACCCTAAACCAGGAGGGTAGAAACCTGTTAGGGTAACAGCTATGGATTTTTATAGTAAAATTACCAGCGATAACTTTTGAATATATATATATATATATATATATATATATATATATATATATATATATATATATATATATACCCAAGAATAGGATAGGTGTATACAAAATAAATTCCAATAACCAAAAAAATGCTATTCTTGAAAGAGTGCTCAGTACAGAGTAGAGCAAATATAATTCTTTGAATTCGTTTCCTAACACTTTCAAATTTGAATATTTGTAGGTGTGTATATATGAGTGTCTTTATTAATGTATGTATGTATGATCGCTTATATGTGCCTT